TCCTTTTTCCCCGGCTCACCAAGCATGGTTTCTAGCCCTCCGACTGGGTCGGTGATGGGAACGGAAGGGAAGCTGGGGTTAGGAAAGTTTTGGCTTAACTGACCCTGTCATAAGATGAGGTCACCCCCTGAGGGCCGCCAGGTGTTTCAAATTGATTCTTTCTCTCATAGATTGCTTTCGGAACCATCAGAGACATCCCTGGGAATATTCAAAATAACCTCTGTGGTTTTTAAAAAAATGCATCTTCCCTAGCTGGCAATTTCTCGTTCTCTTCTGTTGCTATGTCAGCCCATTGTACACACATTTGCTTGTGGGATCCCACAGACGAGCTCCACCCAGGCAGTCTTCTTGGGCAAGGTAGAAATCCCCCAATCTCTCTCATCTGGTCCACGGAAAAGAATCTCACGTTATTTGCCGGTATCAACTCTGAGAGTATAGATCCACCCCAAAGTAGTGACAGTTTTTCTCTTCTCCACCCTCAAAGCAGCTGGTTTCCTTGTCTCTTGTCTCCTGATTTCCTGGGTGAGAGTCGGATCCCAAAGCACTGTGCTTCTGTGACGTGGTGACTTACGTAGAACTTATATGACAACTATATCATCGACCCCAGTGGCATCGCTCTTACCCGGCTTGAGATGCAAGACAAGCACACCGCCAAGCCCTCCTCCCTTCCTACCCAGGGCAGGTAGCATTAGCAGCCCTCGACAAAGAAATACTTCTCTAATTCTCATCGACCCAATCTCTTTGCCCCCAATATAGATGAGGGGTCTGAAGAGTCGTGACGCCTGGTTTTATAATTCCTTTGCAAATTCTGCATATAGTCTACTTTGGAATAAGATCTATGGGGTCCTGCCGTTCAATGAAAACTTCCACTTTGCTACCTCGGTACTTATGTTAGCGTTTGGCGTCAGTGAACATCGTTAGTCTCTTTAACAATTTAGCCCTATTTCGTTTGTTTTGAGCTGCATCCGGGGTCAAGGCAGAACTACCCTGGGAATTTAAGCAGCCTGTCTACATACCTCGCATCCCGAGGTTTCCCCCACAGCCTGTCTCCCTATGCCTGGTCATGACCTATTGGAGCCTCAGGTTCTCTTGGGCATGGATTATCAGGATTTAGAAATGTCTTCTGTACAGGACAAGAAAGTAAATATTTTAGACTTTATGGGCTATACAGTCCTGTCACAGTGACTCAGCTCTGCAGTGGTACAAAAGTCACTGTCGACAATGCTAATGAGCATGGCTGTGTTCTGATGAAACCGTATTGACAGAGCAGGCAGGTGGTGAGCCTAATTATTCTGGGATTTCCCTGGGGGCGGAAATGGAAGAACACCTCGGTGAAGTCATGCAAAGCCCATAGGCTATGGAAGGCGGGAAGCGCTTTGTTCAGGAGATGTGAAGACTTTAGAATTTTACCGGTGGAATTTGAAGAAAACTTCAGAAATTCAAGCTGGAAAAGGATCATCTTTTTAAAAATCGCAGGCTATGATGTTCAACATGAAGGAGGAGCAACAAGGGAAGTCTACGCTGCGGTGTGTTCATGACCACCTGCCATTGTCAAGGTCGCTATGGCTTCACCCGCCCCAAGCTGTGTGTAGTGCACTTTTCAGCCACCATGCCTTCCAACAAATTGGAAGACCCACCTACCCGGACGCCACACTCATGTCCACCCTTCGCTTCATGAAAAGTTGTACACAAACCAGTTCAAATATATAGAAGATGCTTTACCCCTCCGGCCTTACCCGAGCGTGCCCGGCTGGCTTCCAGCACCCAGCATCTGCATTTTATTGCCTGAGATCTTTTCCCCAGTGGGGGAAGGGCTCTCGGTCAGGGCCAGGCAGGCCTGGGGTGCTGGGGTGGGGTGTTAACACACCCCAGGAGCAGCCGGCAGTTAGTGACAGACAGCAGTGGAAAGTAAATACCCCCCCTCCCTGCCTTCTGGCATGGGGTAACTGAGGAGTATGAGTTATCGTTTCTGGGATTTTTCTAGTAGTTTTGGGCTCCCGGTGCCCCCAGTGGACAGCAGAGTACTCTTCGTTAGCATATTCCTTTTCCTGCTTTAACTCCCCACTCTCTGTGGCGTTTCCTGTACTTGCCAAATAAAGTCTTTGCTCTCAAATCCTTGCTCAGGTGCTGCTCTGAGGGAGAAACAGCCCCGAACAGAAGGCCGACTTCTCTGCGTCTTTTCTGCAGCGTCTCCTTTCTGCTTTCTGCGTCGGGCCCCTTCAGGCGCCCATCGCATTTCATAAGAGTCGTTTAATTCAGATGGGTCTCTGCCACGAAGGGCGAGTGAGTTTTCTAGAAATGGGTGTTGTTCCTCTTGGTATCACTTGCGTTTTCCCTCGTCTGTCGCGCAGGGTTCATGTACAGGAAGCCTGTTGCGTAGGTAGAAAGATGGTGACGATGTAAGAGGCCAGTGCCGTACGACTAACCACATGTAGTAGCCACTAGCCACTTGCGGCTATTTAAATTACAAGTGAATGAGAATTTTAAATTCAGTTCCTCGATCATGTGAGCCATATTTCAAGTGCATGCGCTGGTAGTAACCCTACTGGACAATGCAGACAGGGACCGTTTCTGTCATCGTAGGTAGTGCTGGGCTGGGGAGCAAAATGAAGCACCCTGAATTCATGATTTGGTTGTGGGCAGTTCTGTGCGGGTCACGAAGCTCTTAAAAGCTTTCGGGGAGCGGGGGTTTATGAACAAGCACCTACATGCCACACCGTGGTTATCGAAGGGCGGGCACTACTTCACAATGCAAGAGAGAACCAGTGACGTGTCGTTAAGGTTTTAAATGATCGCTTTATTTACATATTGCCTGAACCACAAAAAAGAGAAAAAGGACTTCAAAGTTTCCTAGCCGAACTGAGATTCGTGCTGTGAGATTAAATTTTCCAAAGTTCACATCCTGTGCTGTCCACACAGGGTCAGGCTGAGTTAGGAGCTTTCAGACAGGCACGAAGGTGAACAAAGTCAAGGCCACACACCCTCAATTGAGGTGGGATGGACCGGAAGGCCAAGAGCAGGCACATTCCTTCACCAAGTATTCGATTAGGAAGTAAAATGTTTTGGAATTGGAATGTGTTCTAGTCTTAAAGTAGAAGTTTCTCTCAGCTGGGTTGAATTTAAGCATTGGCAATTTTTTTTTTGTTTTTGTTTTTGATGTGATTTGAACTGGCAGCGGAGGGGCAAGGTCAATGTCCAATTCCATCTGATGGCGAGTTCCCCGAGAGCAGGGCCCACGATGTGCTAAGTTCGTTTGCCTAAGACGTAGCTGAGAACACGGTGGGTGTTCAGCAAATGTTTACCGAGTGAATGAATGAACAGGGGTAACTTGAGTACACGTTAGTTAACAGAGGGGAATGGGCTTCGTCTCCCAAGACAATGGGAGGTGATGCTGTGTGACCACCCGCCAGGCTGCACCACCATACCCCCTCTTTACAATCTATTTTGCAGACTTTGAGCATCCAGCTCCCAAAAATTTAACAAGAATCTAGTCTACGTGGGCCACGAGGGGGCTTCGAGGTGACTTAGCCAGGTTGGGGGGATAATTCATGGCAGGATGCTTGGGATGTCCTTGTGGGCGAGAGGATGGATACCATAATTAAATAACAAACTAGTCTTTTATTTTAAACATAATTCTAAAGTTATATTTATTTTTTGAATAGGTAACACGCTCCCAATCCAAAAGGCACAAAAAAGGTATTCAGAGAAAGGTCACCCTCCTCCTCCTTGTTCTCCGTCCGCATCCCTCCCCAGAGACAACCATCGTTACTGCTTTTGTGTCTTTTAAGAGATGGTCAGGGCATCGAAGCACAATGAGAAACATGGGCGTCTCCTTTTGTTTTAATTTTTTTTTTTTTTTACGTATGATACACCTTGTTTCGCTCTTTGATTTTTTTTTTTTTTTTTCCCAATCAACCATCTATTGCCCCTGGTCCTCTTGACACTGTCTCTTGGCCAAATTCTTCTCTGGGTGCTCCTGGCACCTCTCCTCTCTGCTGTCCATGGATCTTTGTCTCCACGCGTGGACTCGTCTCTAACTTACCTCCCTGTGTGGTTCTGGGGCCTCCACTCCACCCTCTGTGTGTTACCAGATTTATCTTCCTAAGGCATCGTGTTGATTGCTTTACTCCCCTGCTTGAAACCCTTCGCAGGCTCCCCTTGCCTTCCCAACAAAGCCCAAGATGCTTCAACTGATATTCATGGCTCACCCCAGTGCCCCCACCCCACCCCACCATCCACACGTGTTCGTACCCTCCCCTCTCCCCTTTGTATTGGGCACTTCAGTGGAAGGTAGCGCCCCAAATCCTCTCTCTTTCCAATCCTGCTCCTCTTTCATAGACCCGCTTAAAAGCCCCTTCCTCCATGAAGTCCTCCCTCTGGTTCCAACTGCAAATGGCCTCTCCCTTCCTGAGCCAGGCATAGTATCGAGGGTGTTCCTCTTCACACTGGAGCCATGCGTTTCTGTCTTCCACCTCCAACTAGATGGAAGGTTTCATGGAGAACAGGACTGAGTTCGTCTTACACTTGACTGGAAGCGATGTTCGCGCATCCCATTCGTACAACCTCACGCGCAGTTGTTGGATGAATGGCGTTTAAGAGGACAGCGTCTACACATTTCAGGGCCAAGACATTTCTATGAGCAGGACCTTTATTCTCGTACTGAAAATACCAAGCTGCTCTTCTTGGAGTCACTCATGGAAAACGTGGTCATTCCGTGCGAATAGGAAATCAATTCACTATCAAGAATATTCAGAACAGGTGTGACACATCCTTATGTTGCTTGAGAGTATATATCCATATGCTTAAAAAAAAAAAAAAGAGCCTTTTCATCAAGCAAGGAAAGAGCGAGGCACATTAAGCAGTAATGTAATTGCTTGGCTGTGTTTTGTGAAATGTCTCATTTATGTCAACAGCTGGCTGAATTTAAGATTTAAAATATAAGAAATTTTACCTGTTTGTAGCTGCATATAATAACTATCTAACATTCAGGTGCATTAAAATGTATGTAACTTCAGAGAATCAAGCAAAGCTCTGCTTTTCAGGGTCGATGATAAGTAAAGTGCCCAGCCGTTGACCTCCGGTAATGACTTTGGGGTACATAGATGTACAGCCACCATCGTGTATGTGTTTTCACATCTTCAAGACCTTCGGGCTTGCACCAGAAGTTCAAAGGACTGGAGTAGAGGTCAATGTAATTGGCTTAACGTGTTTGCTTCATCTGCTCAGCGCATTTCCTTAAGGCGATTTTCTGCATCTGACCTAAAACACAGCAGAGAGTTCCTGCTCCCACGTTGATGGGGACGCAGAGCTGCCCCTCTCCGGTTTCTCGCTAGGAAGAAAGGGGATATGTTTGCCCAGGTGCAGGGCCACGTGCGTGTGAAAGAAATGGCTAAGGTGCTCCCGGAACTTCTCGCTGACAAAGGCGTAGATCACAGGGTTGACACAGCAGTGCGTGAAGGCGATCACCTCCGTCACCTGCAGGGCCACGTCCAGCTGTTTGTTCCGCTCACAGCTGCTCTCGAAGAAGATGGTTTGAAAAGTGGAAATAAGGAGAACCAGGTTGTAGGGCGTCCAGAAAAGGAAAAAGATCACCATGATGACAAAAATGAGCCGGATGGCCCTGTACTTCTTTTTACTGGGGCATCTCATCAGCGTTTTAATGATTCCAGTGTAGCAGATGGCCATCACGAGCAGAGGCAGAACGAGACACAAAACATTCATTCTCACAACCTGAAAACGTTTCCAGGTGTCTTCTTCATTCTCCGGGTAAAATGAACTACAGTACGAGTTCCTAGACGTCTCTTGGGACTTATGGAAGATAATCTCAGGGATCACTGCTAGCCCTACCAAGACCCAGGTGAGGACACTGCTGATGATCCCAAAAGTGACGGTCCGGATCCGCAGGGCAAACACGGCATGGACGATGGCCACGTACCGGTCTATGGTCAGCAGGATGATGAAAAAACTCTCCCCGTACAAGCCTAGGTAATAAAGGCCCGAGAGCAACTTACACATGCTGTGGCCAAAAACCCAGTTGGTCCACTTGGCGTAGTGAATCCAGAATGGCAGGGTCAACAGAAAGAGCAAGTCAGAAAGTGCCAAATTGAGCAAGTAGATGTTGGGCAGAATCCGGAGGCATTTGTATTTTGTGAGGATCAGCAGCACCATCACGTTGCCCACCAGGCCAACCCCGAACACCAGGGCATACAGTGGCGGCAGCATCTGAGCCCCCAGCTGTTGGATTTTGATTTTCTCACACAGTATTGAGATATACTCGTAAGATGTGGTGAAGAGGGCCGCTTCCTCATTCTTGAGCCAGTCTGTTGGGGTTGTCATTTTTCTTGCCTCTGCAATAGAAGAAGAAAAAACGCCCCCACAATTAGGCAAGATCACCCTTTGAGACTCCCGGTTGATTTATTTATTTACCCGACAAAACCACCTGTGATAAACGGCCTATACATTGGAAGGTTCTTCAGCATGGATTTCACAAGGTCCGTCAGAGCTGCTGTGGGGGAGGAGTCAGAAATGAAAGACGTGAAGTTTTGGAAGTCAGCAAGATCCGCAATGGGAAAAGAGAGAGATGTACTGTGGATGGCGGTGAAGAATGGGGCTGTCGATTTCTGAAAGCATTTGAAGGAAGAAATGCAAAACAGGAAAAAACAGGCTGGATAATGACAACATAATAATAATTATTATTATTGCAACTTTTAAGTCATTTTGCATTTTACTGTTTATATATGACTTTCAAAAGCATCTTACCTATTTAAAAACCAAATGCTTATAATAATGATAGTGATTATTATTATTACAAATAATTACCCCCCTCCACGGCCCCATAACAATGTGCTGTTTATCATAGGTAATGGGGAAACTGAACCTTGAAGAAATTTAGTAATTTACCCCAAATCCTATAACAGGGACATACAAAAGTTCAGACTAGATCTTCAGTATCTATGTCCAATTCTCTCATGACTAAATTCGAATGCGATGATTTTTGAGCTTAACTTTTGATGACGTAGCAATTATAATTAACTACTGTAACAACTCCAGTTATATGCAGTATATGCTGCCGCCTTTTTCCTGGTCCTGATAATGCTGTCCAATAGAACTTTCTGCAATGATGGAAATGTTTTGTATTTGTACTGTCCGATAAAGCAGCCATTAGCCACGTGGCTGTTGAGCTCTTGAAATGTGGCTAGTGCTATTCAGGAACTGAACTTTTCATTTTATTTAAGTTTAAATTTAAATAGCCACATGTGGCAAGTAGCCGCCATATTGGACAGTGCAGGACTAGTGCCCAGCATAACACCTAATGAATAGCTGCTTAATAAATATTTCTTAAATGGATAGAGGGATGAAGTAGAATAATTTTTATGCTGCTTTCCACTCTTCAGACTATTCATTTGAAATGTTATGTTCTGTTTTAGTTACCACATTTTAAAAGGTTAATATCAACGTGGAGTACAGAACAAGCTAGGATGATAAAGGTCCAGAAACATCGGCCGTAGTTGGCAGAATCTGAAATGTTTAATTGAAAAATAAAAGTCTTCAGATTAATTTTTCATTTTAGTTCTTTTTTTTTTTTTCCCCCCAGAAGCGGGGCGTATTATTTGTCTTTGGTCTGGACGAAAGGTTTTTATTTTTTTTAAGTTAAGTGATTGGATTAGGCAATTTTTAAAGTCCCTTTGAGATAGACAAGTCTATGAGGTGATCGCTTTTCCTGTAGAAGAGGGAGTAGAGTTTCTAGACAGCAGAAATTGAAGGCATAGCAGTCACACGTGGAGAAGAACTAGCTGAGAACCACCAAGATGTGCAGAAGAATGAGCTGCCTCGTGAGCCAGTAAGCTCCCTCCCTGAGTGTACACAAGAATCCCTCAAGGTCAAAATCATGAGTAAATGCGATCTTCTTCCCAGCTGCAGACACATTGCATCATTTGCATTTCAGGGCGGCAAGCACATGGGCTTCCACAGCAACCGATCATTCTTATAGTTGCTAGAGCAAAGGTTATACCCCGTTCTTAGACTGTGGTCAGTTCATCTAAAGCAGCTTGGTTTCATCCATCTGCCTAGTGATTTTAGATATTCTTACCAACTTCCTCCTTCAAAAAGTAGATGTATTCTTTGTATTTCAATAGCAGGTGTTTCAAATGTGGCTGATTTTTAGTATTAGTATGCAGGCTGGTATGTTATTGAGGTAAAAGAGAGGATCACGAAGAATCTGTTTTCATGAGGAAGGTGTGCCTATGCAGTCCAAATAACGTGGTTGGGAGTGCTCAGCATGACCCCTGGCCCCCGGGACCCTTGCTCTACCTGTGCCATGGAGAGAGAGCCAATGCCTCCTTTCTCCATATTATTATGTTATAATTAATATCACATGTGTTTATCATTTTGTATCCCAATATTTTAAATTCTATACCCTGTACCTAGTTCCACGTGGTTAAAATTTATTAGACAATATAATTTGTAATGACTCCAACATAGTGTATATTCATTGTTATTTAACCAGTGCCTTATTGTCGTATGATTATGTTGTTCTCAATTACGCTTTGATAAATAACGCTACAATAAACTGCATTTTTTAAAATTATTTTTTTAAAGTTGATTTCCCAAAGCATTATTTCTGCCTAGGATCACATTCCTACAGCTCTTGATTCATCCGGCCATATTGCTTCTAGAAATTGTGTAATGATGTATATTCTCTTGGCACTAGTAGGTGATGGTGCCAGTCTCGGCAAAGCTAAAAGAAAAAAATTGTTTGGCCAATTACATGGGCAAAGGGATGTCATTGTAGTTGGAACTGATCTTTATTTAATTACTGAGGTTTTTCTTTTGAAACTGTAATTATTAGCCATTCATATTTGTGTGTGTGTGTGTGTGTGTGTGTGTGTGTGTGTGTGTGTGAATTTTCTCTTTGTGCCCTTTACCTATTTTATTCTACTGGGTATCTCTGCTTTTTTTCTTACTGAGTCATACAATTTTCCCCCCAGGAGACTTAACTCAGCCTCTATGGTTCAATGTACCTATCACCACCTTTTAATGAGAGTGGCAGATACAGTCCAACTCCCGTCACTTCTGTGTGCCAAAGACCCCATATTCCCACTGCCCTCCCTCGAAACACTTGCCAAACAACAGATTATGTCCATCTCTGGCCAATCCAAGCTTTCCTGGAAGATTAGGAAAGCCTTCTATCTCTACCTTCTAATACAGGTCCAGGCAAAGCAGCCAGCTTTGTAGATTCAGACAAAAAGACACCAAATCAATCAATCAACTGGTTCATCTAATAGCCTGACTCAGAGTGGATTTTCAGAAAAAGACTTGAAATATATACGTATATATAAAAACGTAATATATAAATGTATGTACATACACATATGTAAAATATATTTTCCCTGGCTTTCTAACAAGTCGACATCAATAAACACAAAAGTACTAAGTGTAACTCTTTTGGAGTGGTCATATTCTCCGTAGTGGAGAGTTTACAAAAGCACAGGGAGGGTGACATGGGCACAGTTATGGGCGTAATGACTGAAGAGGCATAAGAGGCCAAGTTTGGATGAGTGGAAGAGGTAAATATATCATGATAGAATACATATCATGGTATGAGCGGGAGAAAGAAAGGAGAAATGGAAGAAAGCGAGAAGAAAATGGACATATTTCACAATACACTCTCCCACTTTGGACCTACTCCATTGAGGCGGACCTCCCCGCCCCACACCTCCTTGATCCAAGAGCCCTCCTGGGAGGTAGTGCTTCCACCCGCCTAACCCTGCTGCTCCATCTCCTTTTTCCTAGAAACCTAATGGTCTACCTGGAAATCTCTTCTAAGTAAACAACTTCTATCGCATTGAATAAGTTCTCGCTCAGATGCAAATAAAAAGAAGACAAAGGATACCTGTTAATCTAGCAAAGTCCTCTGTGCATCCAGGGATGGCTTAGGTCTTGTCACTGATGAAGAGAAGATACCATCTACTCAGAGACATTAATGAGGTGGTAAATATCGCAGCTTCCTCTTTTGAACAGGCTAGCATCTAAAATTTTGCAAATTTTCAGAAAGATATCAAGTTTGGAGCAGTTCTTGTTTTCGACAATCAAGATTACACACTAAAAACTAAGTTGAGTAATTCCTGAGATGCATACTGCTGACGCTTGGCTTTCTTTGGGTTCCTGCAGTCACTGGGTATTTCTCGTTTTGGGGGAAGGGGAACATCATTCTTGAATAAACATTGCTTTGACCCACAGGCATGCAGACTTAAAAAAAAAAAAAAGACATTGGAATTTCTCCGTGAAGGAAGGATGATGACTAGGGAATAATGTAATTAGTCTGCAGAACTCAGTAGGAGACTTTGATGAGGTGGGTTGTAGCACAGGTTTACACGACCCAAGAAGACGCGAATTTGAGTTTCAGTTGTAGCACCTACAGCTGTGTGACCTGGGGTTAATTATTTAATCTTGCTGGATCTCCGTTCTCTCATCTATTAACAGAAATAATGATAACTACGTCATCGGGTTGCTGTGGAACCAACTACATGTAACGTGGGAAGTCTCTAGGGCTAAGCAAACATGAAATGCGGATGGAGAACCACTGTGACATAAGCTTCACAGGGCAGAGCCAAATGCCTACTCCATGTGCTGATGTGTCCAGGGGACCTAGCCTGGTGCTGGACACAGAGCGGGTGCTCATGCGATATTTGTGGGAAGATCTCTGACCGTGTATGATGTGATCTTTGAAAAAGTGGCTAAATGGACAAGTCGATGAAATTTACCAAACGTTCTCAAACAACCATGTAGGACTGCGCTATCTGCTCCCAATGATATAGAAAAGACAGGAAGAAAGGACGAACACTCTGCTGGGAGGGCTCAGGGGTATCGTGGGGGCCCCAGCTTGAGGGAGCTTAACTGGAAGCCTCTGGTCTGAAAAAGAGAAGCTAAAAAGTTCTTAGCTGTTTTGAGTTATTAGAGTTGGCCTTTGCCATGGGCTCTATGAGGCAGTGCATGGTGGGGAGGTTACGAAGAAGTAGATTTCTAGCCCAGTGAAAGGAACAGCTTCGGCAGGATCTCCCAGAAGGAGGGGCATTCGGGGACCCCGCCAGTGGAGCTGGAGAAGCGCAGCCTGTGTGACCTTCTGTGTGCTGCGCAGTCGCCTGTGTGAGGGCAGCTCCCGGTGTCAGGCACCATTGGCACTAGGGACTTACTGAACGAATGAAGGAAGATAGGAAGGGCCGTCATTTTTATAATAAAAATTTTATGTCAGAATAAGGCAAACTTTCTCTACAGATAAGAAGTTCAATTAGAAAATTCCAGAGTCCTTGCCCAACTCCATTTGCATTTCTCAAGACTCTCCTTCCGCCATCAACCCCAACTCAGGCCACATGGGGTACCCAGCCACTGGCCCCCAGACATGCTGTGGACAATCCCACCATCTCCCGTTTGCTCAATTAACTCCTTTTCTTTTCTTCCCTCTGCGGGTCTGAATCCTACCTGTGGCTAAGGCCCATCCTGCCTATGACGACACCTCTTTCTGCTCAGAAAGACAGGACTTCCTTCTCCATCACTTAGCAACGTGCACTGTAAACAGAGACCATGATAGCACCTACACCGAGGTGAGGGTCCGGCGAGGCCACACACGAAGAGCCCTTCGCACGGTGCCTGGCTGGTAGGAAGTGCTCCGCCAGTGTTAACCACCATGAGATGTGTCTTAAAGTAGCAGGCTCTTGTACTCACCTCCTCCTCCAAACTCTCGTAACACTACAGTCCGCTGAGTTTTCTGGCGCTCCATGTCATCTGCAGAGAGATAAGCGCTCACCTCAACCCTGCCCCCTTTACTGCCTGGATTCCGAGCAAGTTAAGAAATTGGAGGGTCCAAAATGGGATTGTTAACGGAACCAAAATGGAGAGATTTCTCTCCTGAAGTAAAGGCAACACCGAGACCCTCGAGCAGCTCTATTTCAAGAGGAGAAAAAGACCAAGCCGGGCCCAGCCTAGTCTTTCCAAACTTGACCAACAATCACTCAGCCTCCAGCAAGGGGAGGACGAAAGCCGGGTGTGCCCATACTGAGTTCGCTTTGCAAGAGGAAGGGTGAGTGGCAGGGATGAGGGCTGTGCACGGGAGTGAGCTCTCTATCCAGTAAGTAGACTTAGTCAACTGCCTCCTACCTCAGTCTCCAGGACCCACGGTGGACTAAGAATTTTCCTGAAGTGATTTAAACAACCAAAGAACTTCATTTGTTTGAGAAACAAGCTAAGGTGCTGATGATGGTGGTGAAAGCGAGCCAAAATAAAGACATCTTAAAAGGTGATATGTCTGGAGCAGAAAACAGAGGTTTGGGATAAATTAATGGGGCGTGGGGTGTTGAATCCAGCAGTGACTCCGATCTTTGTGGGTGTGATTCTACTGTGTGCGCCACGTGGAAGCAAGGCATCATGGGAGCACTTCAGCTGGGTGCCCTGGTCAGGACCGTGTTTTGTCACCAATCATGAGATTCAGCTTTAGAGAAAGTAAAAACGGGAGTTAATGTGACTGAGGATAGATGCAACCACATGCGATTCTTGATAGAAACGTGACTCAGGAGCCTGCGTGGACTCTGGAGGAGCCTGTGGTGACTGGGAGATCGTGTCCAGATTTGTCACATGTGTCCCAAAGCTTTCTGCTGAGTGATTTTTTGGTATCAAGGCATCTCAGGTTGTGGCTCCTCTTTAACTATTTATTGGTTAAACTAAGTAATTCATCCAATGTAGTCGATGTCTCTTATGATCCAATCGCGAGCGTGATAGCTGTCAACAAATCTGAGGTCACGTCCTCCACTCAAGGACGATTGTATTATCTAAGCTGCTCTTTCTAATAGAGGAACCTCCCGGTTTTCTGAATAGAGATTCTCTTACACAGTGTTTCAGAAATACTCGTGAAGCATCACGATGCATTCAGGTCTCTGAGAAATCCTGCAGTGAAAACACTGGTTTCCACTTTGTGACCCCAGCATTTCCCAAACCTATTTTTAATGTAAAAAAAAAAAAAAGTTTTATTTCAAATAACACCTATTAGCATCCCCCAAAACTAGGATTCCCTAAGGGAACTCTGGGAAGCGCTGGTCTGATGCTTGGCCGGCGCGATGCAGTTGTGAACTGCTTTCTGGCCCACCCTCTGATTCTGACGGAGATTTCCACAGCAGCCCTGTGAGGTCGGCAGAGATGCCTTTGTCGCCCCATGTGGTAGATAAGTTGACGGAAATTCAATGAGGACTTGGCATAAGCCACAGAGCAAAGGGCAGAGTGGGGCTCCGCTCCAGAGCTGGGACAATCCATCGTGGACCCTCTTCCCTGTGCCATACTGCCTTCTGAAGGACAGGCGCTTGCTGTCCTGCAGCTGAGGGTGAGGATGGCATCATGACCAAATGTAAAGGCAGAACCCAAAGTGGTTTCCTCGAGGTCTACAGTGGCTTCTTCTGTCTTGGTTTTTCCCAAGATGGATGAGAGATTTTGGACGCTTCTATTGGGCTACTCGAGGCACTTAGCTTACAGGTATACCAAAGTGTATGGGACAACCTGACCCAGAACTCTAATATCCTCCAACCTTCCAGATTCTCAATGTCACATAAACCAAAGCAGAAACATTCGAGAGGGAAATGACCAAAACGACAACAATAAAGCAAACAAAAGACAGATTAGAACTATAGGAGTGTGCGACAATAAACAAACAATAAATAAAACAAGTAAACAAAAAAAGAACCTTCAGAAATTATAAAAAGGCCAGAAATTTCTTGCGGGAGAGCTCAGGTCGACCATGGCCTTGAGCATGTAGAAGTCAGGGAGAAGTACACAGCTTCTCATTTCTAATTAGGCCCATTCTGTCCCTAGCTCCTGGGTGCAGGGTCTTGGGGCCTACGTGGGGCAGGAAGGTCGGGCTCCAGCCAATAGTTCCTCCCACTAACCTTTCCCCCGCGACGTTGCTGGAAGGATTTACGTAGCTGGCAGGGCCTGCCTCTAGCACATTGGTGGTCGAATGTATTTCTGAGTTCTCTCCGTGGATAGTACTCCGCCCTCTGTGCAGCTCAGAAACCAACAGAAGTAAGCCTTCACACAAGAGTGTTCGCCCTCACAGACCGTCCTACCAGAAATATCAAGGCGAGCCTGTGGAAACTGTGTTCATTGGCGGACGTAGATGTCTTAAGAGAGCCTAATCTTAGCATTGGCCTCCAACTCAAATCCAGAATTTAACCAAGGATGGAGCCAACCACCTGTGTGGCCGCCGTGAGCATGCACCTCGAACATCTCCCACTGCAGGCTGAGCAAAGTCCCGTGGCTGGGCTCTGAAAGCAACTCCGTGCTTACCCAAGGCCATGCTGCCCCGTGGCCTGCACCCCCACAGCTGATCTGGCTCTGCAGGGGTACTGAGACAGTCCCATTCCTGGGAGACTAGGCTTCCTCTGATGGCTGACTTTAGCTTGAAGTTGCCCCAGTGGCCATGCCAAACTCCGCTTAGTCTACACAACAGTCTAGATGCTTCCACCGGCCTCCCCTACCTCTCTACTCCACTTGGGGCCTGACCACTCTCCCAGCCTCTCCCAGCTCTCGCCCATGTGTCCTCACAGGTGCCTCTCCTAACAAAATCCTGACAGGTATGAAACCTCCTTGGCATCTGCTTTTCAGAGATCTGGACTTACACAACTTGTATGTTCAAATTAGCTCCAAAAGAGCCCTCGGACCCTTTCGGGCCATCTGTGCAAGGCACCATGTTGTGGCTGTTGTTGATCTAACCATTTTGCATGTTCCATTTTGCTCGTTCTCATTCTTTTAGGTAAACATCGAAAATCTAGTATCAAAATTAGTAAATAAATATGATGATGAATAAAAACAACGAACAGTGATTTCGAAATGATGCAGAAAATAGGTTTCTCCCTGAGCTCTGGGGAGCACCTGTGTGAATACAACACACCTCCATATAAATAGGGACA